ATGACCTCCTGTTGGTGCACTGTACAGTGACATTTTTCATGTTAAATAACAGTTGCCCCGCAGTAACTGTTCAGACAAGCACAGAAGGCGGTTTTGCCCTCATGACAATATCGAACTCAGACAACAATCAAGAATTATTGACTCCAGCGCATCTCCTCCCTCATATTGCCTATATCCCTTCCCCAAAAAATAATTAATAAATGAATTTTAATTTCTTAACATTTTTTATTTGTGATTTTTGCAAAACTTTAACAGTAGTCAAAAGAAGGTTTTTGTGTTGCAACTGGTTAAATGGTAATTTTCCAAGGCACTCCGGTTACATTTTTAATAAATATTCTAAATACATGTACGGTACTTGATGATTTCACATTTTAATTCTCCTCGAACCGTCTAGACCGACTAATCACACTAGCTGATGTATTGTCAGCCGTCTAGTGCCTTCAATAAAAACCACAGCAGATTTTGCCGCGTATAACGATTCATATATAGACTACCAGGCGTGTTTTCTTTTGCTATTAGCAACTTCATGTTTTAAGTACTTTTGATTTCACAGCATTTGTCTGTTGTGGGGTAATGCGTAGTACTGTACTTTTATGATTTAATTTTCAATTTTAAGGACCAATCAGTATAATGTGCTTTTTTTTATATTTTTCTATGTTTACACGTCGGTCCCAACGTGGGCTTCATGTAATGGCCGTGTGTAGGCCGGTTCATACTACAGGCGAATGTGAAAGCGAAATGAAGCTGATTTCACAAAAGATTTGCCGCAAAATTTTGCTCAAGTTGAAATGTGTTCATGTATTCGCAGCGTGAATATTTGATCTGACGTCACAAATTCGCGTTTGTGTTCGCTTTTGTTAGTGTAGCATGAACTGGCCTCGATTTGACCATTCAAGTCAATTCAAACAATCGATTTCTCTGGAAGGGATTTGGAAAATACAATTTTTATTAGCACTTCTTTCAAAGGTAGCTTTTTACTAGTAACCATTTCCACTCTGTTTCCTCACATCCTTGGGTGCTGTTGCTATGACATAACTTTATACACGCCTAAAGCCAGTTTTAAAAAGTTGTACACAGTTCATATACATTGGCTGTCGTGAACAAAATGATCGAAGAAACATCCCAAACGGAGAGAATTACTCCCAACAAGAAACCAAAATTTGTGGGATTTAACGGGACCCTTACAAATGCAAATTTTGGGAATTGGGGTCAACAAAACATTTCACGGAACCTACAGAGTACTGATTTCTAGTTGTATTTACGCAAGTATGTACATGTACATCCCTAATACTCCTTCAAGTGGATGGAGAATTGGTTTCAACAATCAACCTGGTGTTCGATTTCTGGTTTCCCGTAAAACAAAATAGTCAAAGTGCTTGCAAATGTGTTTTTCCCATACATAAGAGGACGTCATTCTGCGGCGACAATGACAGACATATTAACGGCACCTGCCTCCCTGGACGTCTGGCCCATTAAAGGCCGGCGGTGGTATAATTGTTCCAGTCGCACTGGACTGCAATCAACACCTGCTAGCGTACGGCATTTCATTTCACGTTGGCAGGTAAGCGTTATTGTGTTGGGAAGGTCAAACTAAATGAACGGGGCAGGTATGTACCATGAAGATGTCAGCAGGGACTCTTAAGAGACAAACAAAGCATTATTTTGTTACACCTGATGCCAGAATGCGTTTTCATTATGAGTGAGGATCATGATGTTGCAATATTGTAGTTTTTCTGCCCTGGCCTGCTTCGCGATTTGCAAATCTGGCGACTTTCACCGAAGTGGTGGATCAGTTGGTTGAGAGAATGATTTTGATAGATCGTGTCCACAAAAAACACAAAATAAAAACAAAAAAGACCGAAGTGTCGCCTGCGTGCGCTACTCACCAACACTGCTCCTTATACCAAGCCTTTTATTCTGAGTTGAAGCCGCCAGACGGTTTCCGAGTGACGCAAAATGATGGTACTTTCCGTTTCACAATCTTGAAGTGTGCACCGGAAGTGTACACCAGAAGAATGAAAACACGTGATCGAAGCCACGACGTAAAAATGTAAAATTGCTGACAAAGTAAATTCAAAGCCAATGCTATTAATACCAAGAGCGATTTTCTTCAGTGACAGTAAAGCAAGGGCACAGATTATTAGGGCAAGAGACTGCATATCTTTTGCAAACAAACAAGAATGCCCAAATACAAAGTCATCAGGTTTTTTCTTTTTTCTTAAGCCGATTTGTCGATAGAGGGCGCGCTGACAATGACCAGCAATTCAAGCTAGGCGATAACTCCCAATAACATAATTTTATAGTTAGATCCTGTTTCCAGACCAAAAGGCTCCAACTAAATGGGGTCTGGTAGCAACATTCATGTGACCAAAACAGGGGGAGTCCTTCTCCTTTTGTGAAAGTTTCGGAACTGGTCCTTTATTTTCCAGACCTACGCTGAGTTTTAGTCAGTTGCCTTGTTTCTTTGATTTACCTTCATGTGACGTTCCATATCTTTTTGGAAGCATACTTTTGCACATCGTTTGACGAACCACACTCTTGGAAAACTGACAAGCGCACACCGAGTAAGTTACAAGAGACCTCAAGGAATTGCGACGTGCGTTATTTTTACCTGTGGAAGATGTTTTGTCAGAGGAAAGTCAAGTCTGACATGTCACAGGGAAACCCCTAAGAGGAGTGAAGACTAGTCTCTTCTCAAGACTGGCAATAATAAGATTTTCCCATTGGAAGTACTTGGTGTCCCAAGACAGTTGTGTAATAAAAACACGCGACGCGTGTAGGCAATATGCACCCAAACGCGTAACGGTGGTCATGGCTATTAGACATGGTGCAGGAACCATTTCCGACTGAAAACAAAGCCATTAACAGCCAAGCAACACTGATTGATGAAATGACACAAGAAGGCAGAGCAGAGTCTTGGAACACAAAATACCCAACTACTTTCCTACACGCACAGAAAATGTCATCCTCGGACAATTTGCACAACGGCGGGTAAGAACAAACTTTATGCTACTCTAACGAGAAACGCTTGTGATTAAAAAACACCATGGCAGTCTCGGCCTATTTATGTATCGTGTCACCTGCTCAAACACCTCTTATGTATTAAATGAATGAGGTGGATCTTATCTGACAATTAGCCTGATTTATTACTTGTACATTGCATATTATATCCTTGTCTGTGTATCACCCAAATTCCGACCTATGATCCTCACGAAAAACTCACTACATTATTGTAGGTTTGTCGCATTTGTCACGCTGTATCAAAGTACAAACTAAATGTGTTTTTACATAAACAGTAAGCCGTTTGTATTGCGTTATTTTGTTTTATAACACTTTAATCGCTGAAATCGAGTCTGCGATTCCCTTCCATGTCGCTCATTTTGGGACTCTATATCACTTTGTTTCATTTACACGGAGCAACACAGTATAACTGAGCATAAACCGTTCTTTAAAAAGTAGCACAATTAATAAAAGAATCCACAGCAAACAACAAAAATATCAAGACTTGAAAACTACGAGCTATGTTTTATTTATAAAACTGCATCTGTTCTGAAGCTTAATTGATATATAAAACAAATCACAATTTTTATGAGAGTAAATTTTTTGACTCTATATTTCAGGTATAAAGTACGTAAAACGTGATATTTATAGTAATAAAATCAATAATGACAGGGTAATTATTATCCCCACTAAAAATACTTCTAATCAATAATTACAAGCAGTAATGAACATGCTCTTCTGCCCAAAATACGGTATTGCTTACAAGCTAACTTAACTTGTAAAAAGTATTTAAACAAAAATGAAAATGATAGATGAAAAAAAAATAAAAACTATAAATTATGTGTGTATGCATTTGGTTTTGACGTAGACCTTCAGCCCCAATTGGAATTGGAAATACCATTAAGTTAATGAGGCTTAGCATGGGATCGAGCATGTTTTTGCAAGCTGCTAAGACGTAAATGTTACTATGTACAACGTTCGATGTATCACATGTGAAAGGCTAATGACATGCACCGAGGGGCAAGTCGCTTGAAACACCTGTTTGTGATACCAACCTAGATTCACTGAAGTCACTCTTTTGCAAGACACTGAAATAGAGGGGTATTCACTGTTAACTTCCGGCATCGCACCAAACCAGTGAATTGCACTGCAGCAAGCACCATCCGGGCACTCTCAAGTAATTTCAATGTCTCGCAATGAATTTGGATATCTTTGGGTAGTATTTACAATATATGTTACACGAATGTCATTGTAGTACGACGTAAAAAATCGCCACTGTGAATATTTTTCTAAATTTGAGGAGTTCACCAATTTAGCGACGCTTCTTTCCCTCAAAGTCCGTTCTTAGTTGTTCAGACTTTAATCTTTGACGGCACAGCACGTTCAAGAACACACTGTCTTGCTTGTTGGTATCCGAAAATATCACATACAATCTCTGTAAAGATGCCTCTTTGAAAGGAGACTAACTTGATTCAATCTGAAAAGCCAAGGAGGCTGCATCAACCTCCTGGCTTAACAACCGCTTCAGGAGAAATTATGCCTTCAAACAAAGGCTTCGTGGATTGCCCCCTTTTCACGACTGGAGCTGGCAAATGTCTAAATGTTTGAGGGGTGTAAGGGTATAGTGTGTGACCCGTCAAATTATCGGCTTTATACACCTCGTTGTTGGCAGAAAACTGCGCAGCATTTACTCCAATGAAAACGCACACACGAGAACACCACGCCTTCAAAAACAAACAAAAGGGGTGCCATTTAAAACGAAGCATCAACGAACAATTTCACCGAGACACATGCCAAACAATCAGTCTGCCACATAACATTAAGTAGTAAAGTGGTCAGTACGGATATACCAGGCAAGATAATGGGACGGAGAGGTACCCCCCCTTACGTGCCCAAT